CCCCAAAACCCCAAAACCCCAAAACCCCAAAACCCCATTACAGCTTCAGGGATTGAGAGAATTAGTATACTTGCCTAAGGATGGCTGGGTATTCTGATGAGTTATAATGTCAACTAAATCTAAGCGCATTAAACAATAACTCAGATATGATTACGAAAATGCTAGAAATTTCTTGGATGGGCCAAATCAATTGATGACCACTTCAGAGACACAGAAAGTATTCATAGCAACCTCAGAGTATAGATCTGACTCAGAAGCTTTCAGTTATACTAGGAATGATTGGTTATTACCGCATTTCTCTCTGAAATCATACTGCTAGAGCTTTGTTTCCATATGATCAGGCTTTTCTCTGATTCCTAGATTATATCCAGCAAGTAGATATGAAGTGTAATGAAAAACCTGCCATTAAGAAGGTAATAAAATTTTCTAATGTTATAAGAGGAAAAGCTACTAGTCCTTGTGGACCAGTAGTTTTTGGTGAGCCAGGAACTATCGAACAGCACAGCTTCTACCAATTGATGTACCAGGGAAGAACCATTCCAGCAGAGCTCATTAAATTTATTGAAAGTCAAACTCCTATTGATAGAGAGGACTAAGTTGTCTCGAATCATGATAAATTAATGTCAAATTTCTTTGCTCAGCCAGATCTCTCGCACTAAGTAAGGATCTTCATCAGCTGAAAGATGAAGGTGTTCCTGAAGGACTTCAACAGCACAAACTTTACTCAAGAGATAGGCCATCTCTTAGCATCTTATTAAAAAAATAGTTGCCTTCTCATATGGACAGCTTCTTTCCCTGCATGAGAATACCATCACTGTAGAGGGATTCCTTTACAACGTGAACGGCTTTGGCTAATGGGGAGTCGAACTTGGGAAAGTATTAGTTAAAGATGTCAGGAAGGTCTTCCATATTCTAAAGGTAACAGTTTCGCCAATATTTTCGATGATATCAAGTTAAGATATCTAAATATCCATGATTTTTAGGATAACAATTTTGTTTTTAGTTATTGGAAGTAGCTAAATCATTGTATCGAAAGAGAAGAAAGAACCTAGACCTTTCAAAGTTCAACTCAGTTATAGCATCTCTTATTAAGAAATATCTTTGATAAGCTGAGTCAGGATATGTCCTTTAATTTAGTTAGAAGATTCACCAAAATTTTCAGTGAAGTCATACAGTTTTAGATACAACAAAGATGCAAATGAGAATAGAAAGGAAAAGGAAGCTATGGAATTATCCAAGAGTCCTCAAAAGCCGAGTCAGGCTAAAGAGGCTGATGAATCAAGTAACGATTTGTTCTCAAGATTAGTCGTGAACAAGAATAGGGGTTAAGGATTGGTAGTGGAGAAGAAAGGGTGGGGGAGGGGTTAGGGGTGGATTAAGGAATGGAGGGGAGGGGGAAGAGGAAGAGGGGGTTTAGGAGGTGGAAGAGATAAATTGGAAGAATGATGGAGAGGAGAGGGATCGCTTAATTGTAGTTTTGTAGGAGATAAGAGTATGTTTGGAAGGGTTTTTATGACTACTTATAGAAAACTTAAGAGGAGAGAAAATTGTAGTTCGCTCCCAACTACCAATGGCTCCATATGGCGACTTTACACAGGTATTTAGATGTCTTATTATAGACATAAAAAGAAAATGGGTCTGAGAAAAAGCCAACATGAAAATTATTAGATATTAACAATGAAAACACTAAAGACCAAGAATATAAGACCTTAGCCCAATAAATTGAAATTGGTCTGTCTTAGACAAAAGGACTTTGAGATGAATCAGAAAGAAAGATACCCTCAAGAATAGAAGAAAAAGGTTAACCCATAGTCTGTCTTATCGAATTTCCATTGGAAGATAGAAGAAAAGTATGGTATTAAATTATTCCTCATAGGCTCATGAAATCAAGTCTGAGTATCATTAAAAAAATTGGGTAAAAATAGCCTAGGAAAGATGCTCACTTGTTTAGATGTCTCTATTATAGTTGGAGGAACGAGTAACAACGAGTGCCTACATAAAGAAGATAATGAAGATGCAAGACCCTCCTCAATATTTTCATTTATGTCAGGAAATGCCATGTTCGTCCCATTTGAAAGGAGCATCTCTGGATTCCCTCTCAAAAGTTTCAGTTAAAAATCATAATAGTATTTAAATGTTAGTTTTCAACATCTACTTCTAAAACCGGGGTTTTGGGGTTTTGGGGTTTTGGGGTTTTGGGGTTTTGGGG